CAATGCAGGGGACACGGGTTCGAGCCCTGGTCCGGGAAGATCCCTCATGCCGCGGAGCAACTAGGCCCGTGAGCCACAACTACTGAGCCTGTGCTTTAGAGCCTGCGAGCCACAACTACTGAGCCCGCGTGCTGCAACTACTGAAGCCCGTGTTCCGCAATGAGAAGCCACCGCAATGAGAAGCCCGCACACCGCAACAAAGAGTAGCCCCCACTGGACGCAGCCACAGAAAACCCACGCGCAGCAACAAAGACCCAACGCAGCCAAAAATAAACAAATAAATAAATGTAAAAAATTAATAAATAAAAAATAAATAAATAGCTAGAGTTGGTAATTTAAAAGAGAATATGATTTACCAAAATTTTGGTTAGCATGAAGCCTTAGGGCTGTACTTATTGAGGCACCTGTATTCAAATAATACCTTTCATCCATAGCAAAAGACGCTATCGCAAAGATTGCTAATAAAATGAAAAATTGTTAGCAGTAAAAATCTTTTCAGTGGGGAAAAGTTATGTTTTAAATAACCATTTGTGCATAGTTCCTGTGGCAATAAGACTTTGACTATATGTGTTTTTCTACACTGTTTGATTATCTCTGACAGTTCCTTTTCTCCCGCCTACTTTATAGGTGTATTTAACCCGAAAGGAAGGATCGTCTTATGCTTACATTTCCTGGAAGTTTGAATGTGGGTCAGTTGGCCTCAACGTAGATAACATTTCCATTAGGACAAGTAGCCAGACCTTTGAGACAGGAACAGTACAGTGGAAATTGAGATCTGATGCAGCACAAGTAGAGCTGGCGGGCGGTAAGCATTTGACGGGAGAAGTAATCGTGAAGTGTGTGTTCAGCACTCTGAAGGGTGATTGTGCTTATCTGAGATGTAGTTAAGAGTTTTCCTTAGCCTAGAGTTATTCATACTGTTGCAGTAAAAAAAAAAAAAAAAATTAAAACCTGTAGTTTAACCTCATTATTAATAGTAGGGCTGATGTTTTTTATAGTGAAACACAAATGGAAGGAGAAAACATCGTTTCTTTTTTCAGAGGACACATTTCCTCCAATAAGAATAATTTGTATTTATTTTTTAAGGGTTGATTTTTACCTATAAGGCAGGTATGTCAAATGCATTCTGAAACTACCTCTTTATGTTCTTACCAAAAGCAAAGTGTTAATTTGTTTTTTTCCTCCAACAGATAAAATTCTTCGCTCCTATCATGATTTTTCTGGTGCCACTGAAGTTATTTTGGAAGCAGAATTAAGCAGAGGAGATGGTGTTGTTGCTTGGCAACACACCCAGCTGTTTAGACAAAGCTTAAATGACCCTGAAGAAAATTGTTTGGAGATAATTATAAAATTCAGTGACCTTTGAGAACCTGAACATTATAGAAAAGCTGGCAATAATCAAGGACATAGCATGTTCTAAAGTAGTCTGTTGGTTCCGTGCATGCTTAGATGGCAGTGTTCTACCCCCTGCTAGCATATTTCCTTGTTGGCTATCCATCGTGTTAACCCTCATGAAAATGTATCTTTTTACTGTGGACCCTAATGAAACCTTGAATTAAAAGCTTCCTTCCATATGTGACTCTGATTTGGAGTGAAGTCTTACTGCCCCACTATGAGATTTTAACCTAAAAATTGTAAGTACGGTTTTAAAAGTAAAATGAAGGTATTTGTGATTAAATGCTATTCGTGATTATGATGACATCTTAAGCTAATAATAGTAATTTGACAGTTTCTGATCATTCTGGCATTAATTTCTCCGTAAGTAATTGAAATAGATTTCCTAAGATTTTTTAATTTTTAATAAACGTGAAAGTATAGTATTTCATAAGTTATAGAGCATGAAAATTTTTATTATTGTAAATACGTAGACATTTAAGAAATAAAATGAATTATTTTGCGTTATATCTTTTTAGTGATTACTTTGGCTAAATAAAAATCATAAGTATGCTAAACATTGAAAACCACTTGAATAGACAAGAATTATGAAAACGGTTAACACTGCATAAATTCAAAGATACATTATAAATCCATAATATGTGGACACTTCTGAAAATGCTTTACTTTTGAGTTTACTTTTGAGTATTTTTATCTACCTCATTGAATAAAATGTTTACTCTTGACTTTGAAACTATGTAACTGGGATTATTCAGTGTGTATACACTGTATCAAGAGTTTTGTGTGTGTGTGTGTGTGTGTGTGTGTGTGTGTGTGTGTTCCATGTAACCTCTCCAGTTAAACTTAGTGAACATTTTCGAAGTGTTTGTGTGCACCGCAAGGGATGCGGTGACGAAGACGACCACGGCCCCGCTCCCTAAATGCCTTTTGTCACGTTCTGCAGAGCGAGTTCTCAGCTCTCCCGGCCAGAAAAGCACGTTCTCAGACATTCTCACCCTGTGCAACTCATTAGCATGTTTACATACGTTGTGAAATATGTACTGGAATTCTGAAACAAAGGTCTTATGTTTTCTTTTTTTTTTTTTTTTTTTTTTTTTTAATGTGAGAGTCTAGAACTATTATATGTAAAAGAGTAAGTAGAAATGGAACTTATCTGGAGACTCAAGGCTAGATTTGAAGTCAAGGATGATTCAGGGTGCGGAGCAGAGGCTCCAGACGCGCAGGCTCAGCGGCCATGGCTCACGGGCCCAGCTGCTCCACGGCATGTGGGATCTTCCCGGACCGGGGCACGAACCCGTGCCCCCTGCATCGGCAGGCGGACTCTCAACCACTGCGCCACCAGGGAAGCCCTATGTTTTCTTTTTAATCGTAGTCCAACTCTGCTGAGGATCACCTTCTTGCTAAAAAGTTACACTTAAAGGTAGCTTGTGCGTCTAAATTTATTAATACGTCTCGAATATTAGAAAATTTTCTGGAATTCTGAAACTCTTAAGTTAATCATAGCATTGTAGAGTGGCCAAATACGTGAAATTGGACAGCCTTGTCTCCTACCTGTCTTGAAGTGTCTGGTTTTGTCACGGTGAATATTTGGATGATGAGTGGAACAATAGTCTTCATGAGAAAAACTGGAGCTTGACAAGCAGTCTTGTTAAAGATGGCAATAGAGATAAACTGAATGTACTTTATCTGTGAAAAGGAAACATTCTAATTTTTACTGTGGCTTTAAGCAGAAAGTTCAAATGTCTTGTATTTTTACAGAGTTGAACTACTGATGAGAAAAGCAGTTGCACACTTTTCTTAAGTGTGTTCCTTGAGAGTTTCAACCTCAGGGTACCTGACACACGTTAATAGATATTTTATGATACAGACAAGTTTGGCAATAGTACAGAAGGTATGAGACAAAGCAATTCTCAGTAATGTGTACAGCATAGTGAGTAAACCAGTAAGGCAAAAGTAACTGAGGCAGAGACGGGCTGATAGTACAAACCCCATGAATAAACTGGCCCTCATATTAGCTGCCCTTTATAAAGCAGTCATCGGAGATCTTTTTTTATTTTCTTTCCAGCTGAAAAATTGTAATTAATTTGCAGGGTTTTTCATTTATCTCGATCAAAACAAATTTCAGAATTCAAATATATGATACCAAAACTAGACCATTTATATTTTGTAAAAATTAATAATAAGCCTCTCTTAAAACCTTTACAAGATACAAATCTAAAATACAGATGCTTAGGGCAGTGGTTTCAAAAGTGTTATCTGTAAACCACTGGCATCAGTATCACCTAGAGACTGTTAGAAATTTAAATTCTCAGTCCCCACCTCAGACTTACTGGATCAGAAACAACCCTCCAAGTGATCCTGGGATCTTATTGTAAGAGCCCTCAGTCTGCAGTGACCCCGGGGTGAGCACACAGCGCTCAGGGGACACCTGCACCAGGCTGCAGAGCCACCGGCCGGTTGGTGAGCCCCTGCTGTCATTGCTCACCATCTAACAGGCTTTATACCTCGGCGTCCTGAGCAACTTTACAGACCATCTGCTTTCTGTTGCAGTGTTGTTTTTTTAAAGTAGGTCCTTTGCTGGAAATCACATTCTCAAGATGAACAAGAAGTTACCTCTGATGTTTTGATCACTTTAGAAGGAAAAGAAGTGCCTCGGATTAAGGGAGGGCTAGAGAACACAGTGTCATGAATTTGGGGGTAGGGGGCGTTGTTAGAGATCATTTAGTCCAGACTCCTCACTCTTCCCTGAGGAAGCTCAAGCCTGGAGAAAGGCCTGTCTAAACAATGCAGTGGATTAGTAACACAGGCAAGATTGACTTGTACACTCAGTGTTCCCTTCTACCGAGTTGCAGGGTTGTAACACAGGGTTGCAATTCTATAGAATTCTAGTCCTGTGTGTGGGCTGCTGTTGTATTACACATTTCGTGAATACAGATACTTTGGTAGGAATGTTCAAGTTGAGGAGATACTAAAACTGATGTTAGAGCCAGTTATTTTTCTAACTATAGTTAAGCTTTCCTGGAGAGTAAATGTATTATAATTTGATAATAGATAACTATAGATACATATGCTTTGGTATTTTTTTCTCTACAAAACAATAAATTGTGTTTTGATTTTATAGTTCAAGCAAATAAGTTTAAATTTATTGAAGTATAGTTGAGTTGCAATGTTGTGTTAATTACTGCTGTACAACAGTGACTCAGTTTTATGTATTTATATATATATGTGTGTGTGTGTATATATATATATATATATATATATATGCACACATACACACACCTTCTTTTTCATATTCTTTTCCATTATGGTTTGTCACAGGATATTGAATATAGTTCCCTGTGCTGTACAGTAGGACCTTGTTGTTTATCCATACTATATAGAATAGTTTGCATCTGCTAGACCCAAACTCCCAATCCATCCCTCCCCCACCCCTCCCTCCCCCTTGGCAACCACCAGTCTGTTCTCTATGTCTGTGAGTCTGTATTTGTTTCGTAGATAGGTTCATTTGTGTCATATTTTAGATTCCACATATAAGTGGTATCATATGGTAAAGCAAATACCCTTTTTTTAACATCTTTATTGGAGTATAATTGCTTTACATTGTTGTGTTAGTTTCTGCTTTATAACAAAGTGCATCAACTCTACATATACATATATCCCCATATCTTCTCCCTCTTGCATCTCCCTCCCACCCTCCCTATCCCACCCCTCTAGGTGGACACAAAGCACCAAGCTGATCTCCCTGTGCTATGCGGCTGCTTCCCACTAGCTAGCTATTTTACATTTGGTAGTGTATGTCTGTCATACAGAGTGAAGTAAGCAAATACACTTTTATAAGCTGTGATCAAGGTGGTATTCCTTCCTAAAGTACTCATGGGAAGAATTAGGGTAAACCACACAAGTCATGACTGGTTTTATTCCCCTTAGGATGTATTCAGGTACATCCTTTATATTGACCAAACCAGTGCTTTATTTCTGATCAGAGATTTAGAATGGACCTACACTGATAGTGGCCACCTTTTGAGTGTCTACTAGGTACTAGTGACTTTGGTATCTCATTGGATCGTAGTGGCACTGTACAGTAGGTAGTATATCTTGTCCCCATTTTATAGCTGATGAAACTGAGAGGCTGAGAGTCAGGTACTTTAATACCGGACTGTCTAACAGCCGTTTCCCATTCATTACACCCCGACAAGTGCAAGCAGACTCAGAAGTTGAGACCTTGCTCTATTTCCTTAATTTTCTAAAGACTTGATCTGAGATCAACAAAATTGTAGCAGCAACTAGAAATCCATAAGTGAGCCATAAAGGGTCTCTGAAGAGCTAAAATAAAGTCTAGCCACAAAAGCCCAAATTCTTTACTGTAAGAGGGCACTTTGGGTTGTCACTCAAAGTCTGTTATCTTCCAGTTTTAAATGTTTAGATTATTTATTTTTGTTAAAAGTTCAAACAAGACAGTATTATGAATTAAAAGTGCCTTCACGCCCCACTCCTCTTGTACCATTTTCAGAAGTAACCACCAAAAATTTTACATGTATCTTTCCAGAGCTTTTCTGTAGATTTTGACATTCAGAGATATCTCTGCACACACACAAAATCAGTATTCATGTATTGACATTTGGTTTTCTTTTTACGTAAATGGAAGAGTATTTTCTTCTTGTATCCTTATCAATGTGCCTTAGAAATCTTTCCATGGTCAGTCATAGATCTGACACATTCTTGTTAACTGCTCCATAGTATTCCTTAATTTATGCATTCCCTAATTTACAGATATGTAGGTTTTCCCCCTTTTTCTTTTTTTGCAGTACACGGGCCTCTCACTGCTGTGGCCTCTTCCGTTGCGGAGCACAGGCTCCGGACCTGCAGGCTCAGCAGCCAAGGCTCACGGGCCCAGCCGCTCCGCGGCATGTGGGATCTTCCCGGGCCGGGGCACGAACCCACGTCCCCTGCATCGGCAGGCAGACTCTCAAC